TACAATTTAACATCATCTTGTTACAAATAAATATAACACAATATATATTACATTGTCTTATTACAAATGAATATAACACGCTATATATAACATTATCATGATACATATAAATATAACACGCTAAATCTAACATTGTCGTGATACATGTAAATATAACATGCTATATATTGAGTTTATTGAAAAACGATTTCAACATTTTCATATTTTTAAAAATTGTGTATTTAAGCATAACAATTCTTTTTAATAACAGGTTATATTTATTTGTAACGCACTAAATACACAAAACTGCCATAAGAAGTAGGTTTGATAATTTAGTTACCTCGGTAAGTAAAAAAAAATAGAGGTATATTTTCATGTTTATATGTTACTATAAACATTTTAGCATGCTATGCAAACATGTAATTTGTTATTTTAACCATATATATAAGTAATATCATTTGCGCATGACTAGTTACTACAGTCTACATATTTGTTTATCTCGTTAAGGCAAAAATTAGAGGTTCATCTTTAAGTCGACTACAAAAATTCTCAGTGAGAATCTGTCTTAACACCAAAAATCTAAAAACACAGGAATAAAAATAATTTGAAAGAAAAACTCAACACAAGAAAATAGAACCGAACCAATTATCTTAATGAGCAAAAAGAATCAAAATAAAACAGAGACATATAGTTTAAAGTAGAGGGAATTTTGGTGTCAACGAGATAAAAAAAGAGAGTCTGATATGGCGAGAAATCGATTAGATTAGGTGTTTGGTTCATGTCGGTAAGAAAACTGCTATTTGCTTCAGTTTAGTTTGTGAGAGAGATCGGAAGTAAAAAAAGAAACAAACAGAGAGAATACTTTGAAGAGGAGGAAGAGTGGTTTGCTTTTCATTTAATGCTTTGTTTTTACAATGTGTCAGAGGAAGAGAACGAAGTGGAGCGCGTGAGGGTAAGAGAGGAAGAATTGGTAGCGAAATATTCTCTCAATTATAGCAACGAAACTGCTCTTGTCAATTACTTAATAAGGCTCAACAGTATTGTCATTGGGTGCAAATACTTTTTTTTCTTCTCTCTTTCTTTTAAAATCCATTTTATTGATATATAAATTAATTAATTATTTTTTGTTGATTATACCAATTGCTTCTCCAAACCATTTTGTTTGTTTCTAGTATATAAAGATAAATAATGAATTTAGAAAAAAAATCATAGTAATCCCTAGTCAAAGTTTGAACTGGTTCAACTCTAAATTATTGAGAATTTTTTTTTGAAAAAAATTGAACACTATTTTTAGTACAATTGAAGATTATAAATACCATGAAAACACTAGAAATATTTCTCAAACAAAAAAGTTATCTAAAAGGTACGTTCCTATAAAAGCATCACTTTTAAAGCATCAGTGCATCACTTTTTATTTTGTACTACGTTGTATTGATTTGTTTAAAATTGTTTTTACAGCAAATGGCAACATCATCATCTTCTCGTAAGGTAATGTATAAACTTATTAAAAAAAATTTATGTTTTAAGTTTATTTTATTTTACTAATATATGTGTGTTTTTTTATGTCAAAAGAAGAAGATCACATGAACCGATAAGAACACTCATACCTTTCTTGAAATTTTCATCTACGTGCAAGATGAAGAGAACTGGCAAGAGATATTTTTAAGTGCGGAAGGAAAAAAAACTACTAGTTTCTAAATTTGAGAAGGCAACATGGTATACTTTGGTATAGAAAATTTTCAAAAATCACTATGATAATCTCAAAACATGGTATATTGAGTACCAAAGATTAAGTAAGAAAATTGGTGTATCTATCAATCCTGATACTAAAGAAATCGAGATGCGTCCAGAATGGTCGGATGATCGTATACAGGTAAATTAATTTTTGTTCATATATTATTATTTACGTAGTAATAACTATTTGATAACATTAGAGTATTTTGTTTTACAGGAAATTTTAAGAGCTGCTCATGTCCAGAAAAAGCAACTGCAAGATCTTAATATGTTTGAGAAGGTATTCGCGAACACCTTAATTGGAACTGATGATGGGTGGGTAGTTGGAAATGGTCCCGATGGCTATGTGTCATCACAAAATTATACGACTAATACACAAACTGAAGGAGATGAATCAGATTTGGGTGACGACCAAAAATCAAATTTTCATGAAACTCCAAGCACCGAAGTTCCTACCCACAAGGATAAAAGGGCATCAAAATAGTAATGTTAGACGCAAACGTAAAGTTTCAGGGGTCAGTGAAAAATCTGAGATTGCGATGGCATATGATAGACGCTCGGAGACCAATAGAGTTACAGGAAAAGCCATGGATTCGGATAGAGAAAGATCTGTACGTCGTATACACCATCTTCACGTAAGGTAAAATATATCACCTATTACTTTAAATTATGTTATTTCCTAAATCATTTTCGTAACATGATACTAATAATGTTTGGTTTATATGATTACAAAAATTAATTAGTTTAGATGTGCTTTATTTTTACAGATCTTTATGTGGACAAACGAAATTATATATATATTGCTTCAACAAATGGCGATGGAGAGCCAAAAAAACGACAACGTAGGATGTCGTTTTACTCTTCTTCAAAAAGAAAATATCATTCTGACCATTAACGATCGATTTGGAATTAATTTGGATTGGAGACGCATAAAACATCGTTTTGATTGCTTGAAGTCGTAATACAACCTTTATTACAATAATCCAGAAGATCCAAAAATAAGAGCAAACTTTTCTCAGTGTCTTTCACTGCTTGAAGTGATTTTTGGTTATTACATCTCTTTTAATTTTGTATTTTTTAGTGAGATTTATTTTTTCAGAAAATTTTTTTAAAAAAAATTTAATTTGTAATAAATTTTTGCTAACCACAATAATAAAAATATTTATTTTTGTGGGTTTCACTTTTTTATCATCAGCAGATACATCTTTAGCATAATTTACATTTTAATACAGTA